CTAAAAATACAAAAAATAAAAAATACAAAAATTAGCCAGGCGTGGTGGCGGGTGCCTGTAGTTTCAGCTACTCAGGAGGCTGAGGCCAGAAAATTGCTTAAATGTGGGAGGCAGAGCTTGCAGTGAGCCGAGATCACACCATTGTACTCCAGCCTAGGCAACAGAGCGAGACTCCGTCTCAAAAGAAAATCCAAAATATATATGCTGTCAGTTGTTACCTTGGATGGTTGGTTTTCTAACTGATTTTTAAAAATGCTCTTCTGAGTTTTTCAGATGTTCTGTTTGAGTATTATTATTGTTTAATTAGAAACAATAATAAAGTAGTCTTCAGAAAATGCTAATTGAGGCCAGGCAAGGTGGCTCACGCCTATAATCCCAGCACTTTGGCAGGCCAAGGCAGGAGTTTGAGACCAGACTGACTAATATGGTGAAACCCCGCCTCTACTAAAAACACAAAAATTAACTGGGCGTAGTGGCATGCACCTATAGTCCCAGCTACTTGGGAGGCTGAGACAGGAGATTTGCTTGAACCTGGAAGGCAGAGGTTGCAGTGAGCTGAGATTGTGCCACTGCACTCCAACCTGGGTGACAGAGGGAGACTCTGTCTCAAAAAAAAAAAAGAAAGAAAGAAAAGAAAACGCTAATTGAAAATGCAGTCATAAAAATATGAGTACCTCCATTCCTTGCCTACCTTTGATATATTATTTTTTAATAATATACAATGGTATTTGCTGGAACAATTGTTCAGCTATCTTCAGAGAAGAATATTCTCCTTTTTGGTTGCTGTTATTAAACTCAGTTGTGTCCAGGACAGATTAAGACATTCTTTTTTTCAACTACCCAGATCTCCCTTGACTAGAGCAAATAGCTAAGTTCAGAGGAATTTTTGGGAAGAGTCTCAACTGAACTCTCAGAGAGTAAGGAAAATCCATGAGATGATATCGGGCCTGACCTGTGACAGACAACATGTATTTGTTGTTGATAAATGAAGAATATATTTGTTAATACTCTTAGCAGAAGAAAACATAGAGAAAATTATGTTTGTGTTTTTAAGGAGAAAGAGGAAGGCCAGACTCGGTTACTCACACCTGTAACCCCAGCACTTTGGAAGGCTAAGGTGGGAGGATCACTTAAGGCCAGGAGTTCAAGACCAGCCTGGGTAATACAGCAAGACCTCGTCTCTACAGAAAATTTTTTAAAAGTAGAAGAAGAAAGAGCAAGAAATCTTTAAAAAAAAAAAAAAAAAAGTTGCACAATTCGTTTGTGAACTGGAACAACTGAAGTTGAAGTATCCAACAGAGAAAGTGACTCTGAGTTGAACATGAAGTAGAGTGAGTACCCTGAGCTCGGGGAGAGCTCAGAGGGTGGACAGATATCACTGTGGATTCCAGGAAAAGGACAGCTTCCTCAGAGCAATGCATCCTGCTCAATTTCATGATGGCATTTAAAGAAAGAAACATGTTTTTTAAAGCTTGGGTACTGGAGTTAGAGCCAAAAGTTTAAACTGAGGTATACAAGAAGTTGCTACAATAATTAATACAATATGAAGTTCAGATCTGGCTGGGAAAGGAGAAAGAGGCAGGAGGAATGACAATTTTATGAAGTACCCTCTTTGACAGAAGTGTGGTTGGTGCGTCCCCTCCACCACCGTGGAAGCTGGACAGGCGGGGCTGCAGTGAGGGATGCACCCAAAAGAGCTGTGGGCATTGTTTGGCAGCTGCTCCACAGCTGCTCAAATTGCAGGAGACAAGAAGTTAAAGAGGACGCTGGCTTTCCAATTGACTTGTGCAAAGGAATTTCTATTTTAGGAGGAACAGAGGCCCTGAGTCCACAGTGCCACCTGCAGGGGGCCGGCTGGGCAGGGAGGAAGAGGTCACAAAATCACCTGGGAATAGATTAGTTGCAAGAGGGCCCTTGGTCCACCTGCACTGAGTCACGGCACTTGCACTAAAGCAAATCTGCTCACAGACTGATTACTACTGATTTGCTCAGGGAAATGTCCCTCTCCCTAAACTAGGACTCACTCTACCAAGAGTTTCCTTGGCTGATGTCAAGGATCAGAGGCTACTTCACATGATTTCTCACCATCACTGATGCCCCTCTTAGTCCTGTTACAATATAACTTTCACAGGGATGGGTAGGAGAGAGGATCAGCTCTGTTTTCATCATTATTTTTTTGGTTTTGTTTTGTTTTGTTTGTTTGTTTTCTTTTAGAGACAGGGTCTTGCTGTGTTGCCCAGGCTGGAGTTCAGTGGGGTAATCACTGATGGAGTGCAGTGGAGCTCACTGGAGCCTCCAACTCTTGAGCTCCAAGTATCCTCCCACCTCAACCTCCTGAGTAGCTGGGACTACTGGTGCATGCCAGCATGCCTGCTAATTACATTTTTTTTTTTTTTTTTTAAGAAAGCAGGTCCTGCTATGTTGCCCAGGCTGGTCTCAAATTTCTGCCTTCAAACAATCCTCCCACCTCGGCCTCCCAAAGTGCTGGGATTACAGGCATGAACCACCGCACCTGGCCTGTCATCATTGTTGAAAAACAACTTAAGTACAGCCCAGCTGCCCGGCTGGCAGAGGAGGCAGATGCATCCTATAGAGTAGTGGGTACAAACACGGGCTTCAGTCTCAGCCATCCTTGGGTTCAAATCGCAGCCAGGGAAGGGACAGGATTCAGCAGGGCCAGGATTAGAGTCAGATGATTAAGGCTGAGTCTTACAAGTACAAGGTCAGGGTCTGTCTTTTTTTCACATTTTAATATTTTATTATGGAATGTTTTCACTAATTTTGCATTTTTTAAAAAATTGCGCTGAAATATCCTTTACCTTGCTTACTGAGCCTTTTGGCTTTCCTTTACATTTTGCACCAAACTGAGTGCTCACTCACCTCACCTAGTCTCAATATAGTCCAGCCCAAGCATGTCAGTTTTATGAGGTTGTGAAAGTCACTTTAAATCTTGCTTTCATTGTCTGCAAATGGGATGATTAATAGATTCTATCTTACAGGGTTTTGTAAAGTTAAATGAGATAATGCCCTTAAAACTCTTAGCACAGGACCCAAAGTTTGCAATAAACTGCCTGTACCTTTGCTAAGTCCTCCTATGGCCAGGATCTGATGTGTTGCACACAGCAAACCTAGATATAGTGTGTGCCTCCTGAAGGAATCATTTGCTTGAAGAGATAACATGAGTCAATGCCCAAAAATCACGTTACTGCCAATAAGAACCACATTTTTACGAGACCGAAAATGACCCACCAAGCCATTTCTGGACACTTACTAATAAAATGTAGCTCATTTCAAATTGGGATCCAGGCTATGACTTGAGCCAGGCTGCAGGTTGTTAAAAACCATGAGCAAATTCACAGATCCGGGAGTAGAAGAAATGCCCTTTGCTGAGAATCATCCGAAATTGTGGTGTGTGTTGAAAAACAGCAGCAGGTACTTATTCCTTGGACACCTTGTCCTCAGCTCAGGCATTTGCCAGGCACCCATAGGAATATATGCTTGAGAAACAGGCGAAACTACTTGTGATCACATGCACTGACCGAGGCTGCTCTATGCCCTGCAATGCATTTAAACACATGGTGGAAGTGAGTTCAGGGTGAAAAGATGTGTTAAGAAACACATTATATCAACCACATCCGCCCTTCCACACATTCTGGGAAAATGACAGTTTATGCTTTCAATGAACATGTTGCCGTTTCTAAAGAACCGTGATTTAGTGTCTCATATAAAAGTGCAACAGTCAAGCTGGATCCATTTCAAATTTACTAGTAAAATTAAAATTAATTCTGTGAAAATTGAAAAACTTTCAGCCAAGAGATTCATTCTGGTTTCATGACATTTGTGAAATTGTTCCATGTTTAAGGTTTTAGGTATTGAAAATATCTGTCCTATGTCTTAAGGTAAAACTCAATGCTAAAAGGAATGACAATGAAAAAGGTAATTGATGAGCTTTTGAGTTTCAACTCTCTTTACTACTTGGAGTCTGCAAATAGCTCGTGATAGGCAGAATATGGATCCCCCAAAGATGTCCGTGTCCTAATCCCTGCAATTTGTGAATATGTTGCTTTTGTAAGGAACTTTGCTGATGTTGTTAAATTAAGAATCTTGAGATGGGAAGATTATCTTGGATTATTTTCGTGGGCCTAAATGAACCACACAAATCTTTAACATCAGACAACCTTTTCCTGCCATGGCTGGAAGGCGATATTCCTGCAGAAGAAAAGTTAGAAAGATGCAACTTTGCTGGCTTTGAAAATGGAGAATAGGCCATAAACAAAGGAATGGAGCAGCTGCAAGAAGCTAAAAGACAAAGAAACGTATTTCCCCCTAGAACCTCCAGAAAGGAATGCAGCCCAGCTGACACCCTGATTTTAGTCCGGTGCAACCTGTGTTGGACTTCTAACTTAAAGAACTGTAAGGTAATACATCGTCTTGTTTTTTTTTTTTTCTTTTTGAGATGGAGTCTTGCTCTATTGCCCAGGCTGGGGTGCAGTGGTGTGATCTTGGCTCACTGATTCTCCTGCCTCAGCCTCCCGAGTAGCTGGAATTAAAAGTGCATGCCACCATGCCCAGTTAATTTTTGTATATATAGTAGAGAAGGAGTTTCACCATGTTGGCCAGGCTGGTCTTGAATGCCTGACCTCAGGTGATCCACCTGCCTCAGCCTCCTAAAGTGCTGGAATTACAGGCATGAGCCACCGCGCCTGGCTACATCTGTCTTAAATCACAAAGTTTGTGGTGATGTGTTACAGCAGCAAAAAGCAACTAATACACAGCTGAAATTATACAACTTTCCATTCATCAATTTCATGACTTACTGTAGCCGTACAAGGTATTAAAAAGCAAACCCTAGTATAGTATTTTTTAAATTCTAATATTTTTGCATCTAATCTAATATTGTTGCATCTAACATTTTTATTGCTGCATTTTATGTCTTGCATCCTTGTTTTCTTCTCCTCATTTATCCTAGGATGGCAGGACCTGCAGATTCTTGATTAGATTCTAGATGCAAATAAAGAACTTGGAATTATTCCCCAAGAAGCTCCTTCTTCTGAAACCAAGAGGTGAGGAATGCTCGTCTGCTCCAGGACATGCCCAATGAGATGAAAAGCTGTATGCGTGGGAGTTGGGCCATGAAGTGCAAGACGTAAACCCTTGAAATCATTTTTAATGAAACATAAACATTGAGTTAGCATAGGGGCCACAGTTGCTGGGTGGTTGGTTCTAAGTTTGGCAATCAGGATATAGAGGGAAAATTCTCCTGCTTTAATGGCCTCCAGATGTTCCTTTGGTCCCAACTGAAAATTTTTCATCATCTATGGTTAATATTTTTGTCAGCAGTAGAGTTTTGTTGTAATGTCTCCAAACTGATGGTAGTGACCATTAGTCATTAGACAAACCCCAAATAAGAGTTTAATTTTGGGGTCACTTTAAGTTTCCATTATATTTCACTTAAAGAATAGTCATCAGAATGTTCTGTTTGTACAACAGGGGACTACATGATTCTATCTGATGACAACCAGTCTGTGATCTCAGGTATAAAATGCAATGTCCTATTGTAATAATGGCTGGCATTACACCCAACATCTAGAAGAAAAAAACAATGATGTCAGAGGGCAGTCATCTTGAGTGAATAAAAGGCAAGAGGTGTATTGCAAATTCTAATGCACTTCATCATAGAATTTTAATTAACTATTTCATTCACACCAATTGGGGTCTATTAAAGCAATTATTTCTGAGAAGCAATCTTTGGGAAATTCAGGTAAAAAAAGACAACTTCTGTCTTCTGGAACAATAATGTTGTGACTGTCTACACCTAATAAAAGGTGACTGTGTAGCCAGGTGTGGTGGCACACGCCTGCAATTCCAGCTACTCAGGAGGCTGAGGAATGAGAACCGCTTGAACCTGGGAGGTGGAGGTTGCAGTGAGCAGAGATTGCGCCATTGCACTCAAGGTTAGACAACAGTGAGACTCTGTCCCCTGCCCCCCCAAAAAAGTGACCATGCAAGATCTGCCCTGGGATATAGTTTAATTACGTAACATACTCTGAAAATAAGCAAATTACTTACATACATGCTTTGATCTTTCTCTATCTGAGGAAAGGGAAGAACACAGTTCACCTCTCTAGAAGTTGCTTCTGAGAACTGTGGTCCATGCTCCATTCTGAATCCACAAGGAAAGGCCTTCACACTATACGTGGCAATTGCAATTAGCTATTGTCTTCTGGTTACGGCATGATGGGCCGATTGCCTTAGTTATGTCAGAGAGGTGTTTGAAGAGCCTATTGTGACTTGCCTCTTTTTAAAGGGCTTGAGTTTTAACTGACTAATAATACACTTTGATACTGTCTGCAGTTTTTAACAAGTGTTTTTATTTGTGCTTAATACTCATTAGTATGACTAGGTAATTTTTAAGGTTCACTCACCAGGGCATTTGGTTTCATGGATCATTAGGGGCCTGGATTATAGGCCCCTCACGACACTTAGCAACTGAATCATACTGAACAATAGAATCTCCTTGAACCTTTGCCTTTTTAAAAAATTAAATGATAATAAATAATTCGACCCTACATTAAATCTTTTTCTTTTCTTTCTTTTCTTTTCTTTGAGACAGGGTCTTGCTCTGTTGCCCCGGCTGGAGTTTGGTGGAATTGTGGCTCACTGCAGTCTTGAGCTCCTGGGCTCAAGTGATCCTCCTGCCTCCTGCCTCAGTCCCTCCTTCAGCTGGCACTACAGGTGTGCAACACCATGCCCAGATAATTTTGTATGTTTTGAAGAGATGGGGAGGATCTCCCTCTGCTGCTCAGACTGGTCTCAAACTCCTGACCCTGAACGATCCTCCCACTTTGGCCTCCCAAACCTAGCCTAGTACGCTAGGAATCTCCCTGCTTGCAGAGAGGAATGGTGCTTTGCTAGAACTGTTAGAACAAAGAAAAGATGGCTGGGCGCAGTGGCTCATGCCTGTAATCCCAGCACTTTGGGAGTCTGAGGTGGGCAGATCATCTGAGGTCAGGAGTTCGAGACCAGTCTGGCCAATATGGTGAAACCCCGTCTCTACTAAAAATACAAAAATTAGCCGGGCATGGTGGTGGGTGCCTGTAATCCCAGCTGCTAGGGAGGCTGAGACAGGAGAATCACTTTAATCTGGGAGGCAGAGGTTGCAGTGAGCTGAGATTGTGCCATTGCACTCCAGTCTGGGCGACAAGAGTGAGACTCCTTCTCAAGAAAGAAAAGTAAATAAATAAATAAATAAAAATTAATAATTAAATTAAATTTCAAAAAAGGAACAAAGAAAAGATGTTACCACAAACTCTAAAATGGCACACTTGCAGATTTCTTACTGAGGAAGATGTCTCGTCTTCCTCGTGTTGTTCCTGTTTTCTTTCTCATCCAGGGTCCGACAGAGATGACATCAACAGAAGCTCAGGCTAGAAGGAAGATGAGGTAGCAGTGGACCTGGTCTGCCCCGCCCCCAAGAGTGACTGGCAGCACACACAGCCTGAATCGACAAGATTTTAAAAAACATGTATGTTTTGGTTTTCACATATTCTCCCACCTGTTGGTAAGTACTTTTGAAAACTTAAATCGTAGACTCATTCCTTTATGACAGTTTTCAACAGATGTTCCCTATATAAAATCTTCTCAGACTACCCTTAACTTCCTCTGAAGCCCAGGGCTCATTTCCGTCTGTAATTCTGACATCTACCATCTTACAGGGGGTTCTGTAATTACCAAGGCAATGAGCACAAATCCCTGGTTCTCTCAGCAATCCAACCCTCTGAAGCAAGAAATTGCACCCCTCTGCCAAGTGAGCGTCTGGCTTTTTCTCCTTAAAATCTGCATGAAATAGTTTGCCAATCCCAGATGATATGATAAGATGTGATGTGATGCAATAAAAGGGGTAACCAGCACTTTGGGAGGCCGAGGCAGGTGGATCACCTGAGGTCAGGAGTTCAAGGCCAGCCTGGCCAACATGGAGAAAACCTATGTCTAGCAAAAATACAAAAATTAGCTGGGCATGGTGGCAGCCACCTGTAATCCCAGCTACTCGGGAGGCTGAGGCAGGGGAGTCACTTGAACCCGGGAGGTGGAGGTTGCAGTGAGCTGAGATTACTCCATTGTATTCCAGCCTGGGCAACAAGAGAAAAACTCCATCTCAAAAAAAAAAAAAAAGGTCCGGCGGGGTGGGAGGATAGCCAGGAAGAGGCCCTATTCTAATCCCGAACAGCTCTTTCCCTTGTCCACCCTGTTTCAGATCACATTGTTTAAAGCAATAGTAATAATAACAATTATAAGAACAGAGAAGAGAACTTGCATGAATTTACTTTTATTTTATTTTTTCTAAGACAGTATCTTGCTCCATCACCCCGGCTAGAATGCAGTGACATGATCACGGCTCACTGCAACCTCTTCCTCCTGGGCTCCGGCAATCCTCCCACCTTAGCCTCCTGAGTAGCTAGGACCACAGGCATCTGCCACCACACCTGGTTAATTTTGAAACATTTTTTTGTAAAGACAGCGTTTCACCATGTTGCCCATGCTTGTCTTGAACTCCTGAGCTCAAGCTATGTGCCTGCCTCGGCTCAAGCTATTTTCTTGCTTCGGCCTCTCAAAGTGCTAGGATTACAGGCATGAGCCACCACACCCAGCCTCAGCATTTGGTAAGCCTTGAATATGTGCCAGACACTCTGCTAAGCATGTTACATTCATTATATTATCCAATTCACAGACTAACCCAAGAGCAAATCACCGTTAGTACATTCATCCTGTTGTACAGATGGGCCTGGAACAGTTAAGATAGTTGCCTTTTGGGTCAGGCATTGTCCTCTTTCTTCTCTTGCTTTTAAAATGTATTTATTGATTCTTTCAACAAAGATTTATTGAGCACCTACTATGTTCCAGGCCTTATTTAATCTTTATATATTCTTGTATATTGATGAAGATGTCATGAGCTCAATAAACCCCTTTGTTCTAAGAGAAGAAAGGAGTTTCTGTAAAAGCAGGGGCTTCTGAGAAAAGAGGGAAATGTGAACTTCAGACTTCACTGGCTTCACACACTTCTGCCCTGAGCAGCGTTGATAAGAATGCAGTCTCTCAGGTTGAGGTATGTCACTTTCACCTTTTCAACTGGGTGGGGAGAATGCTATCTGGGGAATGTGAAATGTTTTTACTGCAGGCTTTCTGCAAAGACCAAAGGGAGCGATAGGGCCTGAAAAATGATGGGGAATTCCCAGATCTGAGAAAACTCATTAATACACTTGGAATCCTGGTGCCCCCATCTGAAAGGGCCTCGGACGTCTCTGAGTCCATCCCTTAGACAAGCTCTCAATTGGAAGCAAGGTCCCCTAATAACAAATGGTCAGACTACTTCTGCCTGCGCACACTTTGAATGCTTGGGGAACTCTCTCTCTCATGAGGCAGCCCATTCTGGTGCCAAACAGACTGTTCTTCCTCATACCAAGCCAGGAATCTACCTCCATATCCACTCACGGGTCCCAGATCAGTTCTTGGATGTCATGAATACTAATCCGATCAGGAATAATAACTTATGAACAATAAATCTGGTATTTCTTTCATAGGAGAATTCATCTCTAACATCAGAAACCCTGTCTCCACTAAGACTGTCTTGTCTTGCTCCTTCAGCTTCCCTCACACGTCATGATTCCAAATGCGTTACTATCCTAGCTGGAGCAAGGGGAACTGTGAATGAATGAGCTGGACACACTGGAGGCTTGCTCAGAGAAGCCATTATTAATAAACACACACTGAAGTAACAAGAAACTTTGAAGGAGGGGCTGGAGCCTCTCTTATGGCCATTAGGATGTGGACAAAGCGTCTTTGGAATGGGAGAGGTTTCTGGGGTCAGGAATCATCTGAATGGTATTTGAGTCATAGCGCTTGTGACACTCAGAGCAGTCTTTTTAAGGCCAGGCTGCAGTGTCTGAAGAAGTACCCGGGAAGCAAATGTAATTGCTCTAAGTAGCGTGCTTGACCTAGGCAATGTACACAGCCATCTCTGGGGAGAATTTCATTTACAGGGAGTAAAGGGATTGGGGAAGTCAAACCTTATGGATTCTTTAAATTTTTTTATTATTATTATTATTTGAGACAGAGTTTTGCTCTGTTGCCCAGGCTGGAGTGCAGTGGTGCAATCACAGCTCACTGAAGCCTCAAACTCCCAGGCTCAAGTGATCCTCCCGCCTTAGCCTCCCAAGTAGCTGGAACTACAGGTGCACACCACCATGCCAGGCTGATTTATGGAATGTGAGGGTGATCCTGAAGACCCCCAAACTTGCAATTGTCTGAAGTAAGGGACTGTTTCATTAGACTCTGCAGTTTGCTAAACTTTGTTACAGCCCCTTACTCTAGGGAAATAAACTCTGACTCTTTATTGAGGTGTTTGTTTGTTTGTTTTTTGAGATGGAGTCTTGCTGTATCACCCAGGTTGGAGTGCAGTATCATGATCTCAGCTCACTGCAACCTCCGCCTCTCGGATTCAAGTGATTCTCCTGCCTCAGCCTCCTGAGTAGTTGGGATTACAGGTGGCCACCACCACACCCAGAAAATTTTTGTATTTATAGTAGAGACGGTGTTTCACCATGTTGGCCAGGCTGGTCTCAAACTCCTGACCTCAAATGATCTGCCTGCCTCGGCCTCCCAGAGTGCTGGGATTACAGGTGTGAGCCACTGCACCCAGCCTCCTTATCCAGTTTTGTGCCTCCCCCTGGGACAAGGTGTCCCAGAGCTAAGGGCATAGCTTTCTTCTTTCTGAATCACACCCCTGCATGTGCTGGTGAGTGGAGTTTGGATGCATGTGCTGGGATGTCCACGTGGGTGAGTGTGAGTCTCCCCGCAGCGCGGAAGGAATGAGAGAACAGAGGGGTGAGCTATGGTACACAGGCCTGGAGCCAGGGCCAGCTCCCCCCACACCACCACACTCCACAGCAGGATTCCATGCAGTCGAGAATTCTAAATTTGAACTTAGACTTCGAGGTTATCATGGTGTTTTCTCAAAGCAGCAAGCTCCCTTTTCATTTTATTTTTATTTTATTAATTAATTAATTTTATTTTCAGCTTTTATTTTAGATTCAGGGACATGTGAAGTTTGTTATATAGGTAAAGTCATGTCACCGGGGTTTGCTGTACAGATTATTTCATTTCCCAGGTACAAGTACTAAGCGTAATACCCAGTAGTTATTTTTTTCTGCTCCTCTCCCTCCTGCCATCCTCTACCCTCAAGTAGGCCCCCAGTTTCTGCTGTTCCTCTTCTTTGTGTTCATGAGTTCTCATCATTCAGCTCCCACTTATAAATGAGAACATGTGGGATTTGGTTTTCTGTTTCTGCATTAGCTTGTTAAGGATAATGGCCTCCAGCTCCATTCATGTTCCCCAAAAGTAGCTTGTTTTTTGGAGCTATGTAAATTTTTTCTCTTTTTTTTTTTTTTAAAGATAGGATCTCACTATGTTGCCCAAACTGACCTCAAACTCCTGGTCTCAAATGATCCTCCCACTTTGGCCTCCCAATATGTTGAGATTATAGTTGTGAACCACCATTCCCACCGTAAAGCTTATGGATTCTTTAATACTCTCAACTCTCACGAAAACAACCACCATAAATCTTAGTTCCTTCATTGTCATAAATTATTTTTTCCCTATATTTTGTAAAGAACTGAAATTGAGAAAAGACCACTAATGCAACCCTAGCATTTCTATTACTGGAAACTTATACTTTTAGCATTATATATAACATAAATTATACTAAATTTATAATATAAATAATGCTAAAAAGACCAAAGACCAAAGGGAGAGGTAGGGCCCTGAAAAATTATGAGGAATTCTCCGATCTGAGAAAACTCATTAATAAACTTGGAATCTCGGTGTCCCCATTCAAAAGGGCCTCAAAGGTCTCTGAGTCCACCCCTTAGACAAACTCTCTATCAAACTCTCTATCCCCACTTTGGTCTTATTATTTATATGAGGGTAAGTTATTTTGTTGTTTGCCTCACTGGTAATATCAGAGGGATTTGTTAAGTATGGGAAGTTTGGTTATAAACTAACCTTGGACATTCAAAGTCATGTTCATATAATAATACAAATGTTACTTTATCATGATTTCTTCTACTTAACAGGATAGCTTTTCTTATTGTTTCCCCAACTATATTGACTGCTACGCTTGCGATTAGCTTTGGTCATGATGCATTCTTTACAATGCCTAGGTGGTATGGTGGATAGAATTATCTCCATTTCACAGGTAAGGGAGATGAGGCTGAGAAGCTGAGGCCGGGAAGAGTTCAGTATCTTGCATAGAGTTTCATGGCTCAGAATAGTACAGCCCAAATAATATACCAATCTCCCGTCCAGTGCCTTTCACTTTGCAGAATTGCCAACAACATGAACTAACTCAAATGGAGGCATAACGATGAAATTCACGTAGGCACAGTTAAATTCCAGATCTCATGGAAAAAGTGAACGGCATTAATTAGACCCACCAATTGAACAACTAAAAATAAAATAAGACAATCATCTCCTGAGCAAAATCACAAGAAAAACCCAAGTCTTTCAAAACCTTACCATGGGTCAGCTTTTAGAAGACAATGGTTCCTTTCGTACGTGAGCCATTTGGTGTAGGGAACTCAGGCTAACCTGATTCTTTAGATTCATTGGGTTTTCCTTCTTTCCTTCTCTAAGCAGTTAATAGGCATCTGCTAAGAGTAAGGCGCATGAAGGAAAATGTTTGGCTGTCAAAAGATTAATATCACAGAGATGGAAACCAGGCCTGTCGCTGAGGTTTGGCGACTGCTACGTCAAAGCCCCAGATCTGGCTAACCTCAAACTGGTCTCTTAATTAAAGAGTAAAATTTAAGGAGAACTCATGTAATGTTTTGGAGGTTTAAGATAAGATTTTGTTGACTGGATACAGTACTCTATTTGGGGAAGGGGGAGCTGAAAAGATTCTTTTCACTTTTATGTAAGATATGTGTTAGTCTTGGCTCTAAAAGAACAATTTTAATCCAAGATTCTCAAGGAACTCTTCACAGATTAATTCATTTTGGAGAAACATAACTTCATTGCTTCCATTCCACAGATATTTAAATGGGTCCTGGAGGACCCATTTTTTGTCTGTTTTGCTCCCAATGGATACCCCTCTATTTAATTTGGAAGAATAGCAACCACAATTTATGCCAATAGTATGCATTTTAAATGTTAGTGCTGTATCTACCTCAGAGAGGTATCTGAGAAATAGCTGGGCAGTGTCTTCATCTGAGCATTCACCACGCATTCATCTATCCACCACCCCTCCAACCACCATCTCCGTAACCATCTACCATCCACCATCCATCCATCCATCCATCCATCCATCCATCCATCCATCATCCACCCA